TCATACTAAGGTAAATATTTGTCCCTTCTAGGATCCCACTGCCTCTCTTCTGAAATTTTTGAATATTCCAGTATTCGTATCTGATTGTAATACTCTAGAGTTCACCATCTGGGTGTCTTAGAAGGAGATCTATTACCACATTTGTACCATCTTTTGGAAATGTTAGTTAATGATAGCAACCTATCCACAATTTTTGGGTTACTCTAACTCCAACTGGATCCTGATATCCCATCTTTCTCTTAAATAATATTTGTTAGCTCCCATAGAACATAACTGAGATGGGTGTGGCCAATTGTACTTACCTCTGTCATTGATGAAGGTACCAAAATGCTTATATTTCTCTGCCTAATTTGAAAATATTGATAATCTTCATTAGCTGGGTACCTCGTACCCCTCTTCACCTTACTTCTTTTACTTGTTAAAACTTGTATCTAGCTTCTGAATTCCTCATAGATTTTCACCATATTCGTGAATAGATATCCGTGCCTTAAGGCTCCTTATTAAGAAGCATACACATCTTAGTACACACATGATCTGTTGAAGACCTCATATTTACTCATCATAAGCATGATGTGAAATCGAGTTCCTCTGACTCAACTCTTCCACATCCACATGCAATCTCTTACCAACTGTCTTTGTGGATGTAGGTATCGTTGTATTACGACTAAAGTCAAATTTAGGAGTTTGAATTCTTACAACTGAGCTCTACTGCACGATCTAGAGTAAGAAGAAAGAGTGACAGACCTAAATGCCCTGTAGCCTCCTGCTTATAAGTGTGGTGCACAACACACCCATAAACAAGACTCTACTAGACACGGCTTGTAGACTCCCTAGGACAGAACTGCTCTGATACCACTTCTGTCACGACCCAAACCGAAGGGCCGCGACGGGCACCCGGTGCCTTACTCAACCGAGTACCAACGTAACATATCTTTCTTATCATGTTATCATGAGTAAATGAGCTAGAAAACTCGTCCTGAGATAACAAGAATAAAACATAAGGGAATAGTCAACATATGAAGACCCAACATGATATACAAACTAATATATGTGACATACGGGCCTATAAGGCCGACATGACCATTAGTAAACTCGAAACATAGGCCGACAAGGCCATACAATTATCCATACACCTGACATATGTCTACAAGCCTCTAAGAGTACATAAAATCATAAAGGTCGGGACAGGGCCCCGCCATATCAATCAATACATATCCAAAGCATACTGACCAAATAGGCAACTCCGGAGCAAGTGGAGTGCACCAACACCTTCGCTGAGCTGATAGCCTACTAGGAGGACTGTCAACCTATCAATCGGGACCTGCGGGCATGAAATGCAGCGTCCCCAGGCAAAAGGGACGTCAGTACGAATAAAGTACCGAGTATGTTAGGCAGGAAAGCATAAACAAGAACAGTAATGTAAAGAGAGAGATAGAGGAGATACAACCTGTAACATCTGAGTGCCTCTAGGGGTTACTGATATGAAATGCATAATACATATATATACATAAACTTTTTAAAAACATTCGCCTATTTGGGCATCATCATATCGTACCCGGCCTCAAAGAGGACTCGGTAAAAGCGTACACGACCATCATAAGGTTCGGTAGAATCGTACCCGGCCACGTGGAGCTCGGTAAACGCAACTGATCAGTGGTTGCACAATAGGTGTCGTACCCGGCCGACTATAGAGCGGCTCGGTAGAGTAAAATACATACTATATATAATGCATGCTAGACTCATGGAATCACATTCTAAACCTTTTGGAGTGACTTAAGAACACTATGGACATCCATACCCTCAATATGAACCTTAGTAGGATTCGAGGATCATACACGCTTGCTTAGAATAATTTTATAAGGAAAGAACANACCGCCTAAGTGGGTCCCATTGGGAGCTACTTGCGCGGTCTCGCGAAAACGCGAATATCTCTCTTCTCCGATATCGTATTGACGAACGGTTTAATGAGTTAGAAAGTAGACTCGTGGACCTTCAATTTGGTGGATAGAACACCCCATGATTACAAGTATATTTGGAGAAATGCTCAGATACATTTGACCTAAATTTCAGCAAATTTATGAATGTAACTTGTGATGACCTTTGTCAACTCTTGTTCCACAACTTGCTTGCCTTATAAANGTCTAGCCCATCCATTTAACTTAATCAATATCAAGATAACCTTAGGCACAAGCAAGAACACAATTTATATACCTCCTACAGTAACTTCAAGTCAAAATCCAAGTTATATTCAGTTTACAACAACCCTTAATAGCAATACAACACCATAGAAGTGACTTAAGCTAATCCAAGTATTATCTTGTAGTTTATCATCCTAACAACTTAACCAACATACAAGCAAGATTAAGCACAATTAGTAGGCTGTTATACTCACCTTAGACAGCAGCAACAACTTGGAATTTCATCCAAATACAGCCCACAACAATCCTCAATGACAACACAACCTCAAAGAGGTGTTGTTCTTCACTAGAACTAAGTTTTGATGTTGAAATATGGTGTAATCACTTTGGAATCACTTCAAACCCTTGTGGTATATGTTTAGGAGGGTTAGGAGAAGTTTGGAGACGAATTTTAGTTGAAAAATGAGCAAAAATAGGCGTCCAAATCGTTTATAAATTGAAGTAGGTCAACCACCGCCTAAGTGGGTCCCATTGGGAGCTGCTTGCGCGGTCTCGCGAAAACACAAATATCTCTCTACTCCGATGTCGTATTGACGAACGGTTTAATGCGTTAGAAACTAGACTCGTAGATCTTCAATTTGGTAGGTAGAACACCCCATGATTCCAAGTATATTTGGAGAAATTCTCAGATACATTTGACCTAAATTTCAGCAAATTTATGAATGTAACTTGTGATGACCTTTGTCAACTCTTGTTCCACAACTTGCTTGCCTTATAAATGTAGAAAATGAATATCATAAGACTAAAATAACTCATAGAATTACCTCCTTATCATGTTAAGAACCCTAGTCTCACCCCAAAGTACATGTTATAACATTCCAAACTTGTCGACTTTTGACGAAACTTATTTTCTTCAATTGGTTTAGCTTCTAAGATTTCCAACCCTCTTGGTACTCGTTATTCATGATCTTAAATATTTGTAACCTCCAAGGTAACATGATTAACTTACTTTATTTTCTTCCAAATATAATCTCATTTCCGAGCTTACATCAATGACTTACGACGTACTGTCACGTATGAAAACTTGGGGTGTAACAACATGTTACGGGGACATCGAATAATAACTGAAGAACAACAAATAAATATCAAGATCACCACAGTTCAATTGAAAATAGTAAGGGAGAATCATGATGCGTGGTACAACAAGTATCAACAAGAAACCAACAATAAAATGTAGAGAAACCGTAACTTAGTTATCAATAAAAATCAGGAAATCAAAGACAAGGGCACGGCATCACCCTTCGTGCTTTAACATTCTCTCACCAAAACAATACACGGCATAACTCTTCGTGCTTTACACTCTTCCTCACCCAAGCAACAATCACAAGGCAAATATGGTAAGGGAATCTATAACATCAAAATAAAATCAAGTAACAACAGAAAATCAGTAAATAACCGTAAAGGAAAACATAGCTCAATTATCAGCAAGAATCAGGAAAATCAAGGACAAGTGCACGACATCAGCCTTCGTACTTTTACTCTCGTCCTCGCCATAAGAATTAATATAAACTGCACGGCATCACCCTTCATACTTTTACTCTCATAGTCACCATAAAATCAATATAATTGGCACGGAATGGTACATCGTGCGGCACGACATCACCCTTCGTGCTTTCCACTCTTTCCTCACAAATCGTACACGGCATCACCCTTCGTGCTTTATCACTCTCTCACCAAAACAATACACGGCATCACCCTCCGTGCTTTACACTCTTCCTCACCCAAGCAACAATCACAAGGCAAATAGGGTAAGGAAATAAAAAAAATTACAGTAAGAATCCCGGCAAGGGAACAATAGATCAACAAACAAGTCCCAGCAAGGGAACAACATCAAAGGAAGCATCAACATCCCGGCAAGGGAGATAATATAATGATTCTCTTCTCTTTTCTACTTTTACTTCACAACTCACTTCACAACTTGAGCCAATGCTCTAAAGGGTTCAATTACCACTTACACTTTCACATTTCATTATACAACTTGAGCCAATGTTCCTCAATGTTCAAACGTTACATTTACTTCCACAAACTTTGCCCAACAATAGAAATCATCACCAAAGCATGAATAATAAAATGAAGTCATAATAATCACAATATAGGACTCACGGGAATACTTGACACCAACGTATAAATACTCATCACCATGCCTATACGTCGTACTCAACAAATATCACATAGCAAGTAGGACTCGACTCTTAATACCTCAAGCTAAAGTTAGACCAAACACTTACCTCGATGCCACGAACACAATTCACGTCTCAACTATCGCTTTACCCCTTGATTCCACCACCAACTCACTCGTATCTAGCCACAAGTTACTTAATTACATCAATAAACGCTAAATGAATCAATTCTAATGCATGAAAATGAGTTTTCTAAAGTTTTACCCAAAAAGTCAAAAATTTCCCCAGGCCCACATGGTCAAAACCCGAGGTTCGAACCAAATCCCGATTACCCATTCCCCCACGAACCCAAATATATAATTTATTTTGAAATCGGACATCAAATCGAGGTCCAAATCCCCAATTTTTGAAAAACCTAGGTTCTACCCAGAGCACCCAATTTCCTCCGTGAAAATCATTGATTTTGAGTTGAAATCATGTGAAATGATGTTAAAGATTGAAGAAACTAGTTAGAAATCACTTACAATTGATTTGGAGAAGAAGTTGGCTTTGAAAAATCGCCCTAGAGTGTTTTGGTTTTGAAAGAGTGTGAAAAAAGGTTGAAATGCGTCTAAGTTATGAATTTACAGGTTGCAGATATCGCAATTGCAATCAGAGTTTGTAATTTCGAACCCAGGATCTGCTAAGCTCGCATTTGCGAAGCGGGAATTGCGAACATACAGTCACATTTGCGATGACAGGCCCAAATAGGGAGCATCGCATTTGCGAAGGAAAATCTCGCATTTGCGAGGAAGGGCTGGTCTGGGCTGTTTCGCATTTGCGACTCAGCCCTCGCATTTGCAAACTCGTATTTGCGAGCTAGGCTTCGCAAATGCGAAGCCTGCAATGCAACAGCTGAAGTCTGCAATTTTTCAAGTCCAAAATCCACCCTGTGGCCTATCTAAAACTCACCCGAGCCCTTGGGGCTCCAAACCAAATATGCACACCAACCTAATAACATCATACAGACTCACTCGTGCATTCAAATCACTAAAATAACATCAACAACTATGAATTTAGCATCAAAATCATGAAATTTCTTAAGAACTTCAAATTTTTCATTTTTCTCAAATACGATCTGATTCACGTCGTTTCAAGTCCGTTTCTTACCAAATTTCACAGACTCATCTTAAATCATATGTAAGACCTGTACCAAACACCAGAACCAAAATACGGGCCCGATACCATCAAGTTTTAAACACATTTCATTTCCAAAAACTCATAAATATTCCAGAAAATAATTTTCTTCAAAAATTCATTTCTCGGGCTTGAGACCTCGGAATTCGATTTCGGGCATACGCCAAGTCCCATATTTTCCTACAGACCCTCCAGGACCGTCAAATCATGGGTCTGGGTCCATTTACCCAAAAATGTTGACTGAAATCAACTTAATTTATTTTAAAGCTGAAATTCATTATTTTTCATAGATTTTCACATATTAGCTTTCCGGCTATGCGCCCGGACTACGCATGCAAATCGAGGTGAGACAGAAAGAGATTTTTAAGACCTCAGAATGCAGAATTTATTTTTAAAACAAGTGATGACCTTTTGGGTCATCACATTAACCTTAATCCCTTCCAAGCATGTCTAAGTATGTGCATTTGCTCGTTTTATCATTTGTTCATAGGTTTCAGAAAATATGTAAGTTGATAAAGTTTATTTCATGATATTAATCAGAGGCATAATGGTCTTATGACGTTCTGAGAGGTTTTATTTACGTACTTCTCAAGCATTACATTCATTTACATGTGCATTTACCCATGACTCAAATGACGTTATATACGTGTGTGTGTGTGTATATATATATACACATGACTCAGACGGCGTTATATATGCGTGTATATATATATATATATATATATATATATATATATATATATATATAT